ATATATTAATAATAATGTTTGTTTTGGGGGTTAAATAATACTATTGTAACAGAAAATGAGATAAATACTCTTTAAAAGTGCATACGTCAAGATTTTTATCTTTTATTCTTGATTAATAACTTTTTTAGTGAAATAATTATACTATTAAAAGGGTATTAATAAAAAATAAGAATAAAAATCCAGGCACTCTTACGGATAAATTATGTTATTTTCTCTAGTAGAGTAATATAATAAATATATAGTAATAGTAATAAGTTTGAACTGTAATTGTAAAATTGGTCGGTAAAATTTTTAAATAAAAATTTCAACCTTCTTTTTGTTGCTCAAATTATCAGCTTGAGAGTAGAATTAACAACCTTTACACTAGCGTTAAGCGTTAATCCCAATTTTAATACATGCATTTTCTAATTCACTGAGTTTATGTTCAACCATAAGGAAAACCAAAAGATTAGTAATCATGGTCATAAAAAGCTTTCAACTGAAGACGCAAAAATCCAACATTCCTCTTGGCAAAACAAGTCTGCAAAACCTATATAAAAAAATAATAATAAAAAAAAAAAAATTCAGCGTTGTAGCTTTCCCCTTTTTTTGTCTTTTCTCCCCCTAAAAAATAGATAAACAAACACACCTTCCATCAAATGTGGACTTTTTAATGTCCTCTCTAATGTCACTTTGCAATCCAATAGTCTTCACCACTATGAAGCAAATGAAACACAAATGTACTTGTTTAGTTGCTTTTCAGAAATGATGCCACCACTAGTTGCCGTTGGAAAACATCTACATTGTGCAGGAACTAACTTGTTAGCTAGCCAAAGTTCAATGGTGTCACCGAATTAAGTGATCTATATACAGCACACTTCTACATAGTGTTATGAACATGGTGGTGCAGGAGATAGATGAGAGCCATACACATCTTCAGGCCTCAGATCCCACCTTTGAATGCGCTTTTTGTTCAGTCTTAGACACTTTTTCAGTGCTTCCGGTAATGGTTCTGGCATCAGATACATGAAATCGTCCTCTTCGTCGTTGCTAATCCAACCATGGTAAGGTTTCCGCTTCTGGGGTGAAAAGAGACTCGCCGTTTTTGGGGATTGGATAATGGCACTCGAATGATCCTTGTCGGTCTCAGAATCTTTCACACACAAATGTTTACCATTCAAATCTGTCAAAATTAAAAGGTGTTCTAGATTAGTCCAAATAGCAAGTATAAATCTTTAACAGGAGAAGAGCACTAAACAATGCAAGTATATTGTTATTCTACCCTGAAGTTTACTGGATTCGGGACTGCTATACTCATCAAATTTTACAGGTGAATCAAAATTACCAGCTTCATTAGTTTGTGCCTGAAAGTCCAGAGCTTCAGCTCCATGTGATTCAGAGTCCAAAGTATCATCAGCAACAGTGAGCAATTCGGCGTTCACAGCCACAATATCAGAGCAGTTAAGTTCGATAACCCCAAAATTCGGTGCCTGAAAGTCGAGGGATTCAGTTCCTTGTGATACAGAGTTCACAGTGACATCAGCAGCAGTGGGCAATTCGGTGTTCACAGCCGCAATCTCAGAGCAGTTAGATTCGATAACTGCACAAGAAGGCCCCGCAATTGACGTGTCGGTATCGTTTATGCTTCTTGCATCATCTAGTGCGGCATCCTTTGTCGAAACATAGAATAAAATGTGTGTCAAGTCAATTACATGAACCCAGTAATGAATTTCTTTACGAAGTAAATAATTATATGATAGATAAGTTGAGTTAGAACAAAAGAACCGCAAGAATAAGAGCAGGAAAAAAGGAAGAGAACAAGTTATACTAACTTATGACTAATGAGGCCATGACAAAAATACGTGTGCCTTGTAAATTGATTTTCAAACATTAGACACTGAAACAACGTAGATCAAGGCTTGCAAATTCTTACCACTCTCGTCTCTTCCTCGACAACCAAGTAGAATAAATACAGCCCTTTACCAATTTGTACAAGCACAAGTTCAAAACCAAAATTCACAACAATAGCAACCAAGTTACCATAAAAGCCAAAGTGACGAAGATGAACATGCAGATATTACGTGGTTCTTAAAGTGACAAAGATGAACATGCAGGTATTACGGGGTTTGGTCATAAAGAACTACAGCCTCTGCCATCAATGGCAGCCAAGATTCACTACAATCAATATGGAACTTGCAACACTCCCTTAAACTCTCAATATTTCTGCCAGAAAAGCTATCTCACCAGAGTACAATGAATCAGATAACACTCTTATAGTAGACGCCGCCCAATATTAAAAGTGCTCGTCATTATCATATTGACCATTTGGACCTCATGGCTTAAGAAAAAGGTTATTTTATCACTGTCTATTAGTAATGCAATCGCCACATATGCATCAATATATTAAAAGTGCTAATATGACATTTCTGTTCAACTGCCACACAAGATGCGTAATGACTAGTGTACATCGTGTTACTTACCAAATTCGATAGTCAATTATTCTAGAACAAGACTATCTGGCCCACATCGTGAGAGGCAAAAATATTGAGCTGCATTCCAAAACCCAGCTCCGCACCCTATGAGAGATGGGTAACGCGACCAGAGCCGACAATATGGGTCACAACACGACAACACAATTCAAAAATGACACAAATTCTTAATGCTCAAAACGCACGTATATACAGTACTTCTGTGGATCAGCGTCACTTTTCTGTGGACACTTTTTAGGTGTGGAATTTTTGAAAGAAACATGAAAATGCAAGGAAAAGAAATCCCTGATCCTGACTCATGCCCTTTTTTTCTTTATACATTGTTAACGAAGCACGTTTTGCTTAAACACTTTTTCTAAAGTCTCTTTTTCGTCATCATCTTATCTGTGCCAAAAAATTTTATAGAAAGCAAAGGGATGAAGAAATAATAAAGGCTAGTAGTTAGGCCGAGAAAAGAATTTGAAAACTCCTCCCGCCCAATAGAAAACGTTTGCGCAATAGGAGAGAAATTTCGTTGGGGTTGTTCTTTTACATTTTTGAGTTAGGGTGACTTGAGTGATGTTTTTGAGTTGAATTTGAGTTATAACTTGAGTTAAAGTTGTAACTTGAGTTTGTATTTGGATGTGTATATTTAAGTTATGATTTGAATTGAAAATCTTTTTGAGTTTATGTTTAGGTGGGTCAAAACTTAAATTTGTATTTAGATAGTATTTTGATAAAAAGTCAATAGTGATGAAAAATTTTAATAGGGTATATGTGTGGGATTTTATTCGTCTTTTCGTTGTAAATGCATAAAAAAAATCATCTCAATCAGAATCAAACCGAAAAAGTTATGACATTTTTAAGAAAAGAAAAAATATTGTTCATTAACTTGAGTTCGAGTTTATGAACTCGAATTGAAGGAGAAATTTGAACTCGAGTTTAAACTCGAGTTCAAACTCAAATTTTATAAAAGAACATGAACTTGAATAAAGTTATAACTCGAGTTCAAATTTTTTCTGAGTTTCGTTGTAAAAGAACGACCCGTTGTCTTTTGCTTTTTTGACGAATGAAGGAAAAGATAGGTAACGTTTTGCATTACCACATGTCGGAACACTAAAAAATTGAGAGTTTATCCGATATGATTAAAAAAATAAATTATTGATCATTTTTTACTTTTTAGTCGTTAAATTTGTATTATGAATTATTTGTTTAATGTAACTTTTTTTTATTTTGATGTGATTTTAATTAAATAACAGTCAAACTGACACTACTAATAGAGAGGCTACCGGAGAAAGTTCCTATTAAATTTTCGCTACTTTTTGAGGTTAAGATTTAAGAAACCTTCCCTAAGAAAAATAAGAAATTGTTAGTTATAATAATGAATACGTTTAGTAACTATTGTTATTGTTTAGTTACACAACGTGTAAATCCACATAGAGAAATGAAAATTTTTAAGAGGAAGAGGTTGGTGAGTTGTCATGGATATAACCATATAATATTAGGTGGCATAACGAATTTTTTTCAAATAATTATAAAAATATGATAACTCATATATTGAGTAAAAAAATATTCTAAAAAACCATGTGTAAAAGATTTTGACTCCTCGTATTCAATGTTAGAATGAATTTACTTCGGAATTTCTTAGACCCTTAAGAAAATTGCGTTGCATGCATTCAAAGGGTAACCTTTTTTCTTTATTATGGGAACCTCTAGTAAGAGATAAATTCGTTTGAATTGAAAGATCACAAAAAGCAGAGAACCGAGTTCATGAAGCTTGAGGGGCCGAATCATTGACTGAATAAACAAAGGAAGACCTGATCAGGAAAATATGACAAAACTAAAAAGGAATGGCATAAACGAAACTTATATAATGATCACATGTTCGATGCCAACTAATTCTTATCAAGATTATCAGGAAACCAATGATTATCAAGCAGTATATGGTGTCAAAACCATGACCTAAATTATTAGATGCCCTTTTTTATTTTTATATCTCATCCATGTAAATATTTAATGAGAACAACTTCAAGAGCATATATTCGCAGTCCTAGTTTGGTTTGGTTGGTGTGCAAGGTTAGATTGACACATGATATTAGAAAAGGGCTGTTGGTGTTTGAATAGAGTGAATTACTTTTATTTAATGAGAGAATCTTGTGCAATGTTATAACATCAGGTCGTATGATACGATAAGTGTAATATTTTTTATATGGATATGTAACTTTTTGATGTAACATGATGACATTGAATCGATTTTAATGTAACATAATAATAGATTACATTTTATTGAGTGTTACACGAATGTGTAAATATTAATGTTATATTGACGAACAAAAAAAATGTCGAATTTGTGAATTGGTAATATAAGGGATTTAAGTAGACAAATTATAATGATTTTGACGTAATAACTAATGCAATACGCATCAAGATATAGAAATATAATTATAAAAACAAAATGACAAATGCAAACTATACATATGTTAAATTTTCATTTAAAAAGTATACCATATAAAGTATAATGACATTGTACAACCGACTTATTGAATGTTGGTTAAATCCGCGTTGATTGACATAATATGATTTATGCCACATTTCTTCTCAATTGTATTGCTCGAGATTAGAGAAGTCTTGCTTATCAAAGATAGGCGTCGAACTGAGTTTCACGAAACTGGGAATCTGGGATTGAAGAGATAAGTATCGTGCCCCTAAAATCACAAAAGAAAAAAAAATATATTATCTTTTAAGTTCCTTTATTCAAAGTCAAAATTGAAAATAAGCGTCACCATGGAGAATATTAACTAATCATAGGACAAATCTCAGGCTATTTCCACTTAGAAGGGTATAAATAGGATAAATAGGCGACTTAAAAAAAAATCCTAATTATAATATGTACACTCAACCTCTATTTGTAATTTTACTTTTCTCTCACAGAAAAATCCAACCACTATATATAAATCTTTGTTATCCAGCTCCACTTTATGTTTCATTACGTTTTTTTTTTTTTTTTTTTTCAATTTATTTATTGCGTGTGACATCAATTCTGATAAGGTCATATGAGAATTTATCCTGTTTAACATTGTTAGGTATTATAGTGTTGGCATCTTATGGTAACATCTAAGTCACTGTTTATCTTTTAGGATTTAAGATTGGGTTGATTTAAAAATTTGAGAAAAGATAATGTGTGGAAGCTTGACAGATTCAGAGTCAATTTTAAAAACAAAATAAAAACAAGAAGTTGAAGATAAAGGACAAGCAATTGAAATCTTGGAGAAAAAAATTAAGGAGTTTATTCTATATCTAAAGGATTTGTTTTTAAATGATGTTAAATATATCATGATTTTTTAAAACATTTTTCAGAGTTTTAACAAGCATTTACCCTTCGCTGATGACGTTTTGGTTTGAGCTGTCGACATAAACCATACAAAACATATAGACTAATTCAGCGGTTAACCAAGGAAGAAAAAAAAACACACACACACACAAAACTATGAATGAATAATTAAGCATCAAAACGACAAAGATCATTGGCTTCATGTGAAAGAAAATTCTAAACCAAGTAGTTAGTCAATAATGGTTTAAATTATAGATTATTTAGTCATATTAGTACGCTTCCGCCAATAATGTGGATTCACATGCAAAAAATTACCAATGGTTAGCACAAATGCACGATAAGCCACACACAAAACTATGAATGAATAATTAAGCATCAAAACGACAAAGATCATTGGCTTCATGTGAAAGAAAATTCTAAACCAAGTAGTTAGTCAATAATGGTTTAAATTATAGATTATTTAGTCATATTAGTACGCTTCCGCCAATAATGTGGATTCACATGCAAAAAATTACCAATGGTTAGCACAAATGCACGATAAGCCAATTCGAAAAATTCATTTAAAAAAAAAAAAAAAAAAAAAAGATGGTAGGCCAAATTGCACTGGCCATGTGAACCAGATGCCGTATTGACTATTTTTGGAAACTCGCAAGCATAACTTTATATTAAAATCATATATAGAAGCGTACACATGATCTTAGAACATCTACATATTTGGATATTTTCTTACTAAGATTTTGGTGTAAAGATCCTACTAATAGTGGCGTTTGACAGCTTTCGACATAATTGAATATTGATTGGAGCCAGAAGTGAGATACACATTTCTTTGATTCTAACCAAAAAATAAAATAAAAATAAAAATAAAAACAATTATACCATCCACAACAAGTAGTAGTTATATAATGAGGAGACGGCTGCAAAAGATGGGGAAAGTACAACACAAAACACACCAAGTGCATTATGATGCTGATCACGCCTAATTTCTTCAACAATTTTTTTTTTTTTTTTTTTTTTTTTTTGTGTGCCGTGCAAAAGAAAGAAAGCATCAAGTACTTAGTGGGGCGCCGGAAGGGGCAACGGGGGCGGCGGCCCTTGGGGCAGACACTGGTAGCACTTAGCAAAGAGGCCGAACGTATCGACTTGCTTGATGAAGTTTCTCATGCTAGCCCAACCACCGAATCCAAATCCAACTATGAGCACCCAAACTACTATAAATGCATTCACTACATACATGGCTGTCCAGCTTGGCATGAAAAAGGGTGGCTTCTCCGTTGCATTCTGTTCCAACAAGTAGACACAACAATATATCAATTGGTCAAATATTCAGAATCTTTAGACTTTGATTTAGTGGATTAAAGTAAGGTTGGTGCGCGTTTTATCATAATAATAGTTATTCCATCACTTGACAATACCAAATATGGTACTTTCGAATTTGGCTTTAAAAAAGGGGCAAAGGACATGTGTATGACTAGTAAGTTGAGGAATAGGAGTCAAATCTGAGATCAAGTTTGGGTCCAGCTAAGCTGATTTCTAAGATATGGTCAGTATTACACAAGTTGAAATGTGAAGATGGGGAGATACTGCGTGACAAGTAAGTGCACCAACCTCATGGTGGGAAAATAAATTCGGATCAATCCCATTCTTTACAGGATTTGTGGGGGCAAAATTGTATTTATAAAACAATTAACCAATAAGCTTATGTTATACTTTAAAACGTTTTTGGGAGGCCTAAAACAAATGCGTCAGATTGCTCCTAGTTTAAAACAACGCTGCTAAGCGGCACTGATAGTGCTGCACACCCCATACTAATAAAATAGAACATGAGTTCACGACCCATTTTTTTTTTATCAGTTGTGATGCTTAATACCGCATTTTTTCTATAATTTAGTACTAATTCCAGTTGATAATCAACAATATAATATTCATAAACACGAGCATCAAATGAAGATGGGACTTAACCATTATTTTATATTATTTTTATTTTTTACCTGTCGAGCTGAAGCAGATCTGAAAGTAAGCATATGGGCTAAAGAAGGGATGATGTAGACGGTGAAGCTGACCAAAAGAGCCCCAACAGCCGAGTTAATGGGGCCAAAGAAAGGGAATATAATGGCCAAAAACCATATTGGTATCACCACCGGTAACCTAGCAAGAGCCCTTAAGCAAATACTTTTGGTGTCGTGCATGCCTATGACTTTCTCCCACACAAAATACAGTGGCGTACAAGCAAATCCAAACGTTATGAACTGCCAAAACTCACAAGCAAAAAAAACATCAGCGCCATTCAAAAACAGTGTGACCTAAACTATGTCACATTTGTCGTTGTTGGTAACTGAAATGTATATGATTAACAAAGTTGGTGTTTTTAGCATTATTTAAATACTAATTCAGTAGTTTGTATTTATGTAAAAACACATTATGAAAAAGTAATTAATTTTATAACACGTAATGAAACTAGGCTATAAATTGTAGGGTGAAAAATGCTTGAGAGAAAACAGTCATTTAACTTGTGTGTGTTTATAATAGAAACACTGTATAGGGTACCAGTGATGTTGAGCACTACTCATTAATAGAAAATAAGTCCTATAAAATGAGGCCCACAAATGGAGGCGACCTAATATCGGTGGGGACTCTAAACATATTTCTTACAATATCTGTGATAAAATTTTCAGTGATGTGTATGAATGGTCAAGTAGAAGAATGGACCTGGTGAATGAGCATTAAAATGACACCAGTATCACGCCAACCAGAGCGGGGTAAAAGTGAAATGGCATTTGAATGCGTGAGGAGTTGGTCACCAAAGGCCCAATAAACAGCCGCGGCAGATGGGATTGTTAAGGTGAACACATAGAGAGTGGCAAGCAGATAAATGTACTTAAACTTCTGTGGTTTCCACATTGCATGCATGATTTCCCTGAAAAAACAAAAATTTAAAAAAAGATATTAAATAAATGATCAACCCCTAATTGTTTTGTTTTGTTCACTTTAATTGTCACAGTTTTTATGATAAAGTATCCCGATAGTAATATCAAAATAAAAAATATTGTGAAACTCATAGAAACTTAAAACAAATCTAACGGTTCAAAAGGAGCAAAATACTCTATTCAGGAAAAAGAGAGACTATTGAGAAAGGTGTCACTTTCTCTATTTAGAGTTGAGACAACCACTAAGGAGCTAGCCAACTTATAGTGGAAGAAAATACTAAACATTGGGAAGCTAAGAAAATATACTAAAAAGTAGTGTCAAAACATGAGTAGCTACAGGGAATAATAAAAGGGTACTTGATCAGTGTAAGAAGTATGGAGGGGACTAAAAATTGGACAAGCTTGCTAGTGTGTGACAGTGATCGAGTAATCTTTACGCATTTTCCCTATTCATTTCATATGCTTGTTGGGTTCCCATAAAGTCATGTATATCAAGAAAATAAGATAGAGACCCATCACTATGTAGATTCCAATTATTAGATAAATTGATAAAGGGGCATGAGATCATTCACTTTTTTTTTTTTGCCCTTTTTCTCTTCTTCTTCTTTTTTTTCTTTGATTTGGGAAGAGTGGATTGGATGTCCCCACTTTTATAATTGGAGATATATTCATTCATATAAAACTATGCACAACTTTTTTCAGAAAAAAACTATTCATGCCTTGATTTTAATCATTTAGGATGGGCACTATTCTATTGTTAATTTAGACCTTCATAATTTATATAGAGAAAAAGCAAACCAGAATATCATATGCTCGCATGTTTATTTTAACTTTGACTCCTTTTGATTTTTTTAATTGTAATAAAAAAGACACCCAAACTAAACATATAGCGAAAATAAGTTCATGTTTTATGTTTAATTGTCAAAATATTCATTTGTAGAGAATCCATACATTGCATTTGACTTCTGAGTACAAAATTTTTTATTTAGTTTTACAATTTTAATTTTCTAGGAACATACAACTACTTTGACTTGCAGAGAACAAACCAAAAGGTAATAAATTAAAAAGTTTTCGCACTTGGATTACAGATGGAAATTTATTCACCTTTACCAACCAACCATGCATGTCAAAAATGTAAACATAGTTTCCAAACCAGTCAAAAACGTGATAAGCGCTAGCCCAAACGGTAATAAAGTGAAGTAAATAACAATAACTAATAAGAGCATATCATGAGAAAAGAGTTTGTAAGTTAAAATGATTTTGTCTTCTTTCACAACCTCATCAGTGGCCAGCAAACGCTGCACAACGAAGCCAAAACTCAGAACCCCCAGAATTTATTTATTTTTATTTCCATTTCCATTTCTTTTTCCTGATAAGAAAAAGGACATTATGACTACTCGTATTAAATATGCGAAGTAATTAATATTAATAATATATAGAAAAAAGGGTAGTAACTCACACAGTGACGGCGTGGCCGCCGAAAGTGTACAGTATATTGGTGGCGCCTGTAAAATACAAAACCAATTGTGTAGGGCCCGAGTGTTTCACACCCTCAACCTGTAAAAACATTTTTTTTTTGTACACACAAGAAAAAAAAATAAATCAAGACTTTAGAGAAGGAGATTAAGAAAAAAAAAAAAAAAAAAAAAAAAAAAAAAAAAAACAGAGACTTTAGAGGAGGAAAGATCAGGGCCGTTGTTAAGGATGACTAACCTGGCCATGAACCAATGCGGCGATGGTCAAATACCAAGCGGTGTAAGTGGTCATTCCAAGGCCCAAGAAGGACCAAATCCTGTAGTTGTGGAAGGAGGGTATGAACACTGTGGTGGCACAACAAGCTCCGAATATGTACGTCCATGTCCTCTTGTCCAAATTGTCATTTATGTAATATATGTTACTGCACAATTATATATATTGAGAGAAAAAATGAAAGAAATAAGCAAACCAAACAAAACCCATCTTTCATTTTTTTGCACAAAGAGAAGAAAACGTGAAAGAATAACCCAAAAAGAAAAAAAAAAAAAAAAATATATATATATATATAGACCTTGCACAAGCTATAAGCTGGATAACGGATCCAAATAGGAGAAAAGTGCAGTTGAAGGCCAACCCAGCAGCTTTCCAGTATGGACCCAGTAAACCATCCAACACTTCAAACCACTGCCCAAAAAACAAGAATTTTCACAAGAAAAAAAAAACTAAATTGGGGTTTTTTTTTTTGAAATGTTGTTAATTTCCTTGTTGTTGGGAGTTGAAAAGCAAGCAAAGCTAACCTGGATGACATGGTTTTTGAAGCTGACATTCTCCTTCTCTTTTCGGCTTCGGTACTCGACGTAGAGAACACTGATTAAGTAAGCAGTCCAGCTTCCGAGCACGCCGTAGAACACCTGAAATATGATTCCTGAGACCATCCCAAGTTGAGAGAAAGAGTAGGGCAGTGTCAAAAGCACCTGAGCAACCTGTACCCCAAAAAAAAAAATTACTTGAGAACTTTTCCAATGTTGGTTTTTTTTTTCTTTTTTTTTTTTTTTTTAATTATTTTGGTAAATACCTGATTGGAAGCGCAGCTGAACCAAGCATCATAAACAGACCCACCATGCCAGAGAAGGCTTTTGAAGCTCAAAAGCGACTCATCTTTTCCTCCTCCTTCCTCTTCCTCTCTGTCTTCCGGCTCCGTTTGGTTCAAGCTTGAAACTATGGCTTCCTCTGCTTGTTTTTGTGGCAACATTGCTTCGGCACCAAATAGATCTGAATCTCAAAAGAGAAATTTACAGCTTCACATGCATATATAAACACCACAAAAGTATTCAAAAGTATGAAAAAACTTCGGTTACTACCTTGTTGTGAAAGTTTGTTTAGGAATTTATAATGGGGAAGCAGAGAAAGAGATGAAGAGAAGAGGCTTCGTTGACAAATGTATGAATCTCCGGAAATCAGCTTTGCTTGCTTTAATTAACTCCTTAGCAAAGAGTGCTTTAACTTGTTTTGGCTTTCAAAGGAAAAAAAATACTAGTGCCAGTTGGGTTTTCGTCCTTCTTTTGACATCTCTGTTTTTTTTTTTTTTCCCTTCCGTTGGGGAGTTAAAATTTTGTGAAGACTAAAAAAAGGCTTCCAATTCCAAGACTGGCAGTGCTTTAATTGCGTACGTTCTACTTTCTACGCAAGTGAAATGCGGGGTTTCTCTTTTTTTTTTTTAATATTTGAAGGAATTGGCAGTTCTCAAAGAGGATACTGAGAGAAACCCAATAAGCAAAAAAAGGGTGTCTCTGGTGATTCTGTTTGTTTTTGGAGGTTTTCTTGGAGACGGGATTTCTGGGCCTTTAATACTATATGCTAGAGAGATAGACACAGAGAGATCTGACAAAAAGAGAAGCTGAAATAAAGGAGGGGAAAAATAAAACCGGACCAAGTAAGAGAGAAACGGTTTTTTTTTTTTTTTTTTTGGGGGCTGTTGCAGGTTTGGAAAGAGAGCTCTCTTATAAAACGAAAACCATGGCACGCAATCTGACTGACTATGCTACGAGGGTGTGTTTAGTCGGAGGGAATGAAAAAGAATTAAGGTTTATTTTATGTTTAATTAGTTTTAAAAAGATGAATGTCAATTTAAAATGGAATGATTTTTTTTATTAAATTGATGAATCATTATTCTTTTTTCATATAAGAGAAATGCTTATTTTAAACTCTTTTAATTTTTTTTTCATCGTCACCCTTAAATATTATAATTATAAATATTATAATTAATATTATAATAATATCTTATATTATGTATTATACATTGTAATTATATTAATATATATGATATTAGTTATATTAGCATGATGGGTAATCTTGTCAATATGAAAATATTTATATCTCATTTCATTGTATTTGTAAAAGTAAAACTAAATAAATGAATTATCTTTCATTTACATTCTATTCTATTATTATTTCTATTTAAACGCTACTCTCTACTCTCTCTCTCGAGCTCGAGTAAACTGTAATATGAACCATGAAGGCCCTTTTAACCTTTTGAAATGAATAATGCTATGTGCACCGTGGTGTTCAACATGGCATACACAACATAGAAGAGGCGAGTCTCATAATTAAGACGTATTTTTTATTAGTTATGTTGTTAAACATTACTAGTGTTTTTAAGTTTGAGAAACAAATTGAGTAAACTCGAGAATTGAATATCGATATAATTATGTTTGCATCTTCATAATTTGGTATTCTTTTTTTTTTTTCTTTCTAAAGAAAAGAGGTTATAATTTTAGAAGGTGGCATATTCAAATAATTCAAAACAAACAAAGTATTTCTAGTGGCATATGGATTCCACGGTGAAATTGATTTGAAAACTTCTTCAAAGAGAAGAAACAATTTTACCACTCCACTAAGTGGCCGATGGTTGTCTAATGATTCCTTGGAACTATCATGTTGCAAATTAATAACTGAAGTAGCAAAGGCCTTGTCTCATAAAGACGTAGTTTCTAAGGATATATTGTGTCCTTAAACCATAGAAATACTCATAGTCCTTAAAATTTTGAAATCAACCTCGCTAGTCCCTTTTCAACATTAAATGAAATTGATTATACTGTTTTTGAATTCGATTAAACATGAAAGCCAAGAGAGACATAGTAAACCTTTCAGAAAGTTGAGGATTATTGCTCTCGATTTAAAAGTTGAAGGAGACTAAAACAAGAGTTTTGACGTAGTTTTGAGGCCATAGAAAGATTAATAGTAGTTTTTTATTTTCTTTTTTTTTTTTTTGCGAACTATATGATTTCTTCAACTTTTTTTTCTTCCTGTTATTTTTACTGGTTTTCTTGTTGGGAATTCCAAATTTATCTGTCTAGCTAATGGTGTCCAACATTTTTCAACAGGGGCATACCAATATTCCAACAAAGACACTCTCTGCCACTTTGTTTTGTTGTTTGGCTTTGGTCACTACTTACTAAATGCATTGGATGGAGCTTGGAGACATGTTGACATTGTTTTTTTGGATTTGCTTGAAATGGTGGGGATTGTGATGGACTCCTCAATTGGGAGTCACATATTGTATGGAAAATACTTGTAGAAACCATAAAGAGTTCAATTAATTAGAGTAGTTGTCTCGCTAAGCAAAAGAACAAAAAGAATAATAAAATTGTCTCTTATCTAGCAAAATGAACTTATACATTTGGTTTATATAGAAAGCTAAAATTTAAAAGAACTTGTTTCAAGCGAAAATACATACAAATTAGGCACAACATATTTGTATATGGTGAGTGTACATAGACTCCAAGTTCAAATATTGCTATTACTAGCAAAACTGATAACAATATAATAATAAAAATAAGTTTCAAATATTAGTTGGAGAAGTTAGGTCGAAAACTATAAGCATGATATAATTAAGGTGATAGGTCTAAATCTAGAGCAAGTTTGTGTGATTAAAAAATGATGGAACTGTAATAAGGTGGAACCGAGCTTTCTTATTTGTTATTGATGTGCAAACAGTTAAATTGTGAGGAAGAGAACCAGCAACTCTTTTTACTTATTTTTCACTAAGGCCTCGTTCATTTCACTGATTCGAGTTTTCAATTTTAGGTTTCTACAGTAAAAAAACTCTCAGAAAATGTCACATCTAACTTTTTTGTTACAGTGAAAAGCTCTCAGAAAATGTCACATCTCAGCTCGAATCCGCAAAGTGAACGAGGCCTAAGTAACCACATACAATCAAATTTTCCACGAATTGAAAAGCAATAATACTCTCATCTCAATGGTAAATTCCACAAAACGCACTGTATTTTGAAAAATTAGCTACTCTTGGATCATATTGATGTTTGAGTCTGGGTTACTTAAGTGAATTAGGAGGATCGAGAGTGTCGTGTTGCGTAGTTTTAAAAGATGGGTTCTTTCTTTTTTTTCATTTTAAGGTTAATGTATTCCCAGTTTGCTTGATATGCTGGTTTTTTTTTTTTTCTTCTTTTTTTTTCTCTTTCATTCATGTGTTTTTCAGGCTTCGTTCGTTATGTTTAATTGCTTTGGTTTGTTTATTGAAGCTTAAGAAAAATATTAAAGTTTAACAAAAGCTGCAACCTTTAAAATTTTCTAAAATAATCCTTTAAGCTTATTGCGTTTTTTTCCCTCAAAATTGATTCAATTTCATCTTGACCCCTCTAATATGGAAGATTTTGTGGTCCAATAGTTGAGAAAAAACGTGGACAAGCAACAAGGTGAGGCCCTTTTAAGAATTTGGTGAACTACTTCTTTAGCAGTCAAAAAGTTGACGCAGCATCCAAGCTTTTAATGGGAGACTTTCATTCATCTCTATCAACATATCCCCATTAACGTCTCTATTTTATTTTCATTTTATTTTTTTATTTAAATAAATTTTGGGCTTATCATGAGCTAAATAAGCATGTTTAGTGGGTGGAGGGACCTAGCTTTCTCACTGGGTTCCTCTATCTTTATTTAACTTTTTACATAATATGCTCTCTGTCTCTTTTTTCTCTCTGACTCTTGACTAATAATTGATGTTAACTTGCATGGCTCCCCAATTCTAAGGTTTGGTTTTTACTGTTCTTATTTATCCTAATCACTTTGAACCAATCAAATCCATTGGAATGACAATTTGAAAGAGAATCAGTACTTGTAAAGGCACATGCAATTAATCAGATGACACTTGCTATATATCAAAGCTAAGCAATAATCTTTCTGAATTGATAAAAAAAATAAATAAATTTTTTTTGTCATTACAAATATAATATGTATTTCTATATCGTACTTTTTCTCAAGCATGCCAGCAATAAAGTACTAGTTCTTAGCAAATTAATAAAAACAAAGTTTTGGTTTTAACTTTGGGATTAGTGGGAGAAATAATGATTAATGTGGAGAGTTACTACAACCTACTTATAGGCGTAGGAAGGTTCTAAATAATATTGTGGTTTCATAGGCCGTGATTATTTTAATGCATCAAATATCTCTCCCTTTCAATCTTACAACATCAGGAATTGAATAAATTCAAGAATCTAATTATCAAAGCCAACCCCCAATTTCTCACAAATAAAAAGGAAAAGGACAAAAAAAAAGTGTGAGTTACGAGAGCATTAAGTTTTTTTTTTTTTTTTAATTCTTTTATTTTTTTTTCTGTCACGATGGACTTATCTAAATTTTCAACAAAATTAAGGATTTCAATATCTCTCTTACTATTGTATTTGTTTGTCTCTTAGTATGTTTAAACGTGACGTACTGATTATGGGATATTTATAAACAACTCATTCATCTCTACAATGTTTGTATATAGTACCCACCACTACATATCCTTAATCATATCAGCAAGACAATTTGTGTACCATATATATAATATAAATACGTAATCAAAGGAGTCCTACCATAAAATCATGATTAGAAAGAATTTCTTTGGGGTACCCACAAGAGAAGAATATTGGTTGAAAATACCAATCAAAAGGAGAAGATTGGATTTTATTTAGCCTTTTCAAATCTGAAAAAGCTTATCTTGGGATTTTTGTGAGAATATATATATATATATATATATTGCTGCGAGAGCTTTGCTCTTTATAGCTCATCCTTGGTTTTTTTTTTTTTTTTTTGGGTCACTTTTCTCCCCCCTAGAATCTCTTTTGAGGAACAAGCATCCTAGGACATGCTTCATAGCTTCAAAGCCCCCACAATTTAACAAAAGGATTTATCAATCCTCCCCCGAAAATAAAATAAAAAAGTAACATAAATTATGAATATAACAGTAAAAAAAATGAAAAAGAACAACAAATTACATATAACTAGTATTCATACCGTAATACATGCCCTATAATGTACAAATACAAGTGCAATGGAAATTATGAACATTGGACCAAAAATGTAAACGAGAAGTAGGTAATAATGTCACTTCAATCTTTACCCAAAAGTGTAGCTTACCGCCCACACAAAAGCTCATCAATATTAAGAGTGCAATGAACATATTAATATACAATCAATCATTGACATAATGTTTGGCAAGTTAAATGACCTCGAAGCTGCTGACAATATTATGAATATAGCGGATGTCTGTAATCACAGTTTGTCCTTTAGCACCAAGAAACTCTAAAAAAAAGAGAATTAACAATTGTTATTTTTAACCGTTTGATTATAATTTTAATGATTAAATATATGCATGTCCACATTAAACATTTACAGCACGTGACATAAAACTGTTCCTACCCATAAATGAGACAGTTGATGTAACTAAAACACGGTTTCTACCAACAAGGTAAAAATGCTTATTCTCCCACAAATTTTTTTTAGAAAAAAAAAAAAAAAAAAGAAAAGATCAAAAAGAAGCGAAACCTTATTATATGCATATAGCTATCTAGCTATTTTCAGCCAAAAAAAAATGTAGTTCATATATAGCTAATTTTTTAGTGTCATCTTCATGTTCTTGTGGCATAAGGTTATGATTAATCTATACCAGCATGACAATCTAGTAATCACTGCTCCACATTTGTATATTATTTATGGGTCCTATACTAGATGGTGATCTATAATTTGG